TTGACAGGGAGCCAGTGGAGAGAAACTAAAACTGGAGAGATATGATCTCTCCCAGTAACTCCAGTTAAGACTCTGGCAGCAGCATTTTGGATCAACTGAAGACGTTTTAAAGAAGTATTTGAACACCCAGATAATAAACCATTGCAATAGTCCAGTCTAGACGTGACAAACGCATGGACCAGTTTTTTTTTTGCATCATTTTTAGATGTTTCTAATGTTAGTGATATTACGCAGGTGGAAGAAGGTGATTCTAGTAACGTTTTTAATGTGGGGGATAAAAGACACGTCCTGATCAAAAATAACACCAAGATTTTTAACGTTAGAGCTGGAGGACAGATTAATGTCATCCAAGGAGGGAGAAAGACTGAAACATTAATTCCTAAGGTGTTCAGGTCCAAAAACTAAAACCTCAAAGACATGCTATTAATACAGTTGGGTTTAACTGGTGATGCTGGAGGTCAGATAGACAGTTGGTAAAATAGTTAAGCAAACAATTAAAAATAAGTTAAATAAAATCAGAGTCTGTTCAGTAACAACCAAAGGAATACTTTCAGAAACTGTAAATCGCAGGCTGTGGTGATTTGTAGTTATAAAATAAAAAATAAAAATAGCTGCAGTGCCAGCTTTTAGATTGTGATAAAAAAAAAATTTGTTTATGTGAAAGAGGGAAACTTCGTACAGACTCACCTGTTTGCTGAGATACAGCAATCCAACTCATTACTGAGTCCCCTGAGGTCAGAGGTCACCTCAGCTTGTTAACGTCTTGTCCCTGAGGAATCTTTTTGAAGTTGCCACACTTTCTTTTAACTCCCCATGAAGCAGAGCAGTTGACGAAATGGAGCCAACGTCCATCAATCCACCAAGAGCCTAGGACACTAATGACGTCCCTACAGGACACAGAACAATAACAGACCTGAGGACAGATCCACACCTGGGACTTCGGACTACAACAAACACCCGGGACTCAGGAACAGAACAGAGTTCATTTTTATAAAAGTCACTTAAAGTTTCTTAAGATGAAGACCAACTTGC